CATTCGTGGAGAGGGTGAGGGCAGAAAAGAACAATCTGTGCTCAGGGGTTTGTCTTGTTAAATGACCAGAAGTCCTCATTTTAACTGACACAGATATGTGGCTGACACTTGACCTTGGAGTTCTCCCTGAAATGCTTGCTCTCCCTGCTTCACAATACGCCCACAGGACCTGAAATGCGTCTGCACTGGAGCGGTGTTCCTTGAAGCAGTGGCCTTTGCGCCAGTTTGGCTCAGCGGTTAGAGCGTCGGCCTGCGGATCAGAGAGTCCCAAGTTCGGCTCCCTCTAGGAGCACATACCAAAAAAAAAAAAAAGAATGGTTAGAAGAGAGTGGCTTCTGTGTGGTACCAGCTGCAGGTGTTTAGGTAAACAGGTGGTTTTCAGGGGTCGTTAAAAGGCCACTTATTATTAGCACCTGGAACCTCTAAAACTTTGAGATCTCCAGCTTTCCATCCTCAAACATGGAAATACAGGTGAAAACATGGGTCACGGCGATCCAAAAGCTGTGGGGGTAAGGGTTCACCTGGGTAGGGGGAGGATTTGGGTAGTGGTCATGTCAAGATGACCACGTGCAACTTGGGAAGAGGTTTTGAGAAAGTGAAGAAAGCTGCCAAAGGCACAGTGTCTTCTTTACAATTGTCCTCTGGGTACCGTGCACAGCGTGACAAAGTAAGACTGATGGGTCGTGTAGGTCAGGGATTTTCAGCGAGGGGTGTGTTGAGAATATTGGAGTTACATGATCCTGCCCCTCCGCCTCCAGCCCCCACGATTCTCCAGTTCAGCAGCACAGTCACCATGAGTCACCAAAGCCTGGTGGAAGGTTGTCCTTTGGTGTGTGGGGATGGAGGCTCACAGTTGAGAAGGACAGCCGTGTACACTTTGCCTATAAAACGTTCCTTGAGATCAGTGTGAACTGTTCTTTTATAAAGGATCTCCTCGGAATATTTTCAGTCGTTGCATGTTAGTTTTGGTTAAATCTTAGCGTTTGACAACATGTGACTCAAAAGCAGAATATTATGGTGGTGAATGTGCTGACTCTGGGGCCAGATAGGCTGGGTTTGAGTACTGGCTCCCCTAACTAGCTGCGACCTCTTTTTTTTCAAACCCAGTTATTGAACATCTTCAGACCTAAGCTATGACATTAGTGGAATGAGGATAACAGTATTTCACACGTGTGTGGGGAGGTACGAATGAGACAATCCATGCAAGGACCTCAGCACAGTGACCAGAACACAGAAAGCGTTCAGCACATGTTTGCTTTAATAATAACTAAAAATGCCAAATACAATAATCAGCTCTTTCTCTGGGAATGACATTTGCTTTTGAATTAAAAGCCAAAGCATTGACTTTGGGTATTTCATAAACCCCACTAAATTAATTTATTTTGTAAAACTCTTTGGACTGAAATAGCATTTAATTGGGCAGAAATGTGTTTGGAGGGTAGAACTAGAACCTGACAAATTCATTGTGAGAAATGATCCTTCCATCCTCGCAGGGCTGCTATCCAAGAGTGTGATGGGAAGTTGGGGTGTTTCCTTACCCCTGGAAACCACACTAATTGTGGAAGGGAGGAGAAATCATCTGCACTGGTTTGCTAGAGCTGTCATAACAAGATACCACACATGGGTGACTAGGAACAGAAATGTATTGCCTCATAGTTCCAGAGGCTGGAAGTCTGAGATGAAGGTGTTGCCAGGGCGGCTCCTTCTCACGTTGTGCGGGAGGATCTGTTTCATACCTCTCACCTCCTCATGCTTCCCTGGCAACCTTGGAACCTTGGCATCATCCCTTGGCATCTGTTGCATGGCCCTGATCTCTGCCTTCGCCTTCCTGCGATGTCTCTGTGTACTGTCTCTGTGTCCAAGTTTCCCCTTTTTATGAGGACACCAGTCATATAGGATGGGAGGCCATCCTGCTTGTATATGACCTCATATGAACGTGATGAATTCTATCTTCAATGACTCCATTTCCAAGGAAAGCCACATTCTGAGGTGCTGGGGGTTTAGGACATCAGCTTATGAATTTGGGGGGGGAGGGGCGGTACACCTTAACCGGTAACAGCATCCTATCCTGGAAATAACTCTAATATGCTTCCAGAATTTGCAGTAATCAATACTCAGCAAAAATCCCGTTGCATGATTACAAAGTTGTAGACAGTGGATTTGTTTCATCTGTTATAAACTGATGTTTATAAACCGAAATTCATAAAGCTAATCACTGAAAACACCAAGGGAGTTACACATCTAATGGCATCTTACTATGGATGATTGCTCAACATTCATAATTTGTTCTGTGAGCTCGTGTGTGTGTGTGTGTGTGTGTGTGTGTGTGTGTGTGTATGTGTGTAAGTGTGAGAGAGAATGGGGGTAGAGGGACAGAGAGACAGAGATTGCTTTCACGGGTTTTCCATTTAGTGACAAAGACACATTGTATAAGAAACAATTTTTTAAAAACAGAAAAAAAAGCTTAACTTTGTTTACTCAATAAGGTTGTGTGTGACTATGCAGATTGTGTCTTATAAATCATTTTAAGCGTAAAGAGTACTCCCCTTTTTAAAGAGTACTACAGTAAACTCTCAGGCTAATCCCTATCAATCTCTATAGGATGTCAATCGGTATGTTAAAACGGTAAATTTGTCTGAGCTTGGCACAATATGTTTTTAAACCTAATCTAAAATTTTGAAAGACTCTACCAAGAAAACCCTGCCTCCTTTTGTATTTTAGAGTGAGCACATGAACAAGAATGTCCCAAGGCCCTGCGGCATGCCTTGATCTCGGTTTCGCTGTATTGATCCCTGTGGGGCGGAGGACACTCTTGTAGCTCAAGCTCCACAGGTGCTCCAGGTGTGAGCAGCCTCCCAGTCCTGAAGAAGACGGGCAGTCTCCCTGCTGCCCCCACAGCATTCGATTGCATTACTTAATGAAGATTTCTCCCCCTCACTTACAGGTCTTACCGCTGGGCTATGAATGCTGCAGGCGAGCCGAGCGGCCTTATTTTTATCTAATTCATCTTTCGGTCCACAATACCAAACACAGTGTCTGGCAAAGCGCAGAGATTAAATGTTTGAATAATTGGGAAATAGTAAATGCTATAAAATCATTGAGGTTTTTCAAACTCAGAAATTGAGAGATTGATTTGAAATATAAAAGAAATCTTGCTATTTTAGGCCCCAAAAAGGGGAGAGGGAGCATCTAGTACAGTAATTCCAGGCTAGGGTTGCCGTTGTTAGCAAATGGAAGTGCAGGTCTCCCAGTTAATATTAAATTTCACATAAATGGTGAATATATTTTTAGTATAAGTAGGTCCCAAATATTGCACAGTACATACTTATACTAAAAAAAAAAAAAAAAATTGTCGTTTATCTCTATTTTAAATTGAACTAATATCCTTTACTGCAACTCTAATCTCTGTGAATCTGTAACTTTTTGACTACGCTATCTCTTTAAAATGCAAATGAGAGTTCTGAACTCTCCTCTGTAAATATCCCTATACACACAGAATTGTGTGTACTATTTTAGGTAGTTGATATCAGTAATTTAATTTTGAACATTGGATGTGTTAGAAAAGGAATAATTAATTTTTGGAAGTTACAAGGTTAAGAGAAATGGAAATAAAGTTATATATACCTACAGAGTGGGACAAAAGTCGCTTTACATTTGTGAGTATGCGAAACACAGAGTTTATTCTTGTATTATTATTTATTAATGTATTCTTTTCCATATGAACAACTGTAAACCTACTTTTGTCCAACTCTGCATATAGATTCTAAGCATAGCAATACATTTCAAAGTTAGGGATCACCTCACAAGTGATCAAATCTAAACCACTAATTTCATAAAGTGAAGAAATTAGACAGAAATATCAACTGGGATAAGAGTTTAATTGTTAAAGTAGGGTAGAGAACAAAACTAAAATGGTTATAAGATTACACTGACTAACATAACTTACCAAATAATCATGTGTATATGTATATTAAATATTAGCACATATATGTAATTATATCTATAATTAAATTATATAATAAAATATAATCAAATGCATATTAAAATACAAAGGCACATATATTTTTTAGGATGAAGAATCAATTTTTCATTTAGTAATATTTTTACACTAATTGAAAAAAATAGTAAATATGCTCAGTGGTTGAGCATCGGCCTGTGGACCAGAGAGTCCCGGGTTCGGTTCCCGCTAGAGGCATGTACCACAGTAAAAAAAAAAAAAAGTAAATATTTTATTTTACTTGGTCTTAAAACAGCAACTAAATTGTCAACTGACCTTTTCTTAGTTCATGGCAAATGACCACTGACCTTTTCTGCCTCTGTACTATCAAAGCAACAACGGATCAGCTACATACTTTAAACCATTAAATCAGCGAATGCTGATTGGCATTGACATTCATTAAAAAAAAAAAGGAATAAAATAAGATATTTAATATTCTTTTGTACATGGATATCTGGCACTGATATCTAGTTATTGGTCAGGAAACCCACTCATATCCAAATAGGTCTGTTATTAAGTCTGCTTAAAAAGAATGGAATATTGATCAAATAAAACCTGGAAAAACTTTTCTCTCTCTGACTCATGAAACATTGGAATTAATCAAAAATTTCTATCATAGACATTGAACATATGTCTCATATTAAAGTGTACTTTTAAATGTCAAAAATTTTCAAATTATTTTAATGCCATAAAATCCTATGGGTTAGGATCTTTTCTGTCCATCTCAAACGTTTTCTCACTTCTGAGAATATTTCCCAGCTCTTCCAGAGCTTCCTGTGAAGAGTTGAATTGGCGGTTGGTTTTTTGATAATTTCAAAATGGATGCAAACCTCTCCTGCTAGTTAACTGGAGAAAATTTTCAGTCGTCTAGAGGCAGTTACATACACTCTTTCTAAAATTATTAAAAGTATTAAATATCCACCCAATAATTAAGAAAAACATAGAATTAAAATTTTTAAAAATATTTTAATTGATTGCAATTAGTTTTGAAATGTCTATTTTAATTTAAGGTAAAAAAGAAGTAAACGGTTAACTCTGAAATACGCTATTAATAGTTCAAATAATAAGTGCCAGAGGTCCACCCATTGGTTCCGGAAACATGAACATCATTCATGAGCTATACTGTCAGGTTCAATGCAGCGGAGGAGCAGAATGAGATTAAATTACATGGCGTGAAAGGGAGGTGAAGAAATCAAGACCCCTAATATACACATCTCTCGGTCAGGCCCTCCTGTCTCCAACCTAACCTAGCTCTCAGCTCATGACAACTTTCTTTGTTACCGATGCAGACAGAAGTCAAACGACTACTACATTGTCATGCTCAGGTCTTGACATTTATTGAAATATAATTTTACTTTCGTAAGAATGTTGCAAACATGAAAAATCTAAATGCTAATGTTACAAAACCCATATATTTGCATATTTAGTAGTAGTTCACCAGCAGGTTGTCTTCATGACATGTAACCTCTTCGAGGAAATCCCTTATAACTCGGATTGAATAAGTTTTAATGCTTTCTTCATGTTTTCGATCACTAAAATAAAAGTAAATAAATATTAGTTTATTAGTAAATGAAAGTGTAAAATGTTATCATCTTTTAATCTCTGAACTTAAATCTGGCCCATTTAAAATAATAGCCATGAAAACATGAGTATCTACAACATTAAAGAATATTATGCTTTCATGGACCTCATTTGAACCTGACACATATGATCTTTGATATCCACAGAAAGGACTGCCTCTCTTAAAGTTTGTTTAATTTTAATGTCTACTTTATTCTTTTTAGTGGTCTCCAAATTTAGTGACTGTAAGAGTTATTAGATATTTCTGTTAAAAAAGATTCTGAGGTGCCCCAGAAATTCTAATTTTGATGGGAACTAAGGGTTTGCTTTTTTTTCTTTTATTCCTCACCAGAGGATATTTTTCTATTTATCTTCAGATAGAGTGAGTGGGAGGGAGAGAGAGAGAAACATCGATGTGAGAAGGACACATCAACTGGTTGTTTCCTGCAAAACCCCAACCAGGGCTGGGGACGAACCGCAACCCAGGTATGTGCCCTTGACTGGAATCAAACTCGAGACTCATTGGTCCATGGGCTGATGCTCTAACCACTGAGCAAAACCAGCCAGTGCAAGGGTTTGCATTTTAAACACTACCACCACCACCACCTACCCCAGTGATTCTGGTTTGTCGATAGCACTGTTTGTGGGAAGCACCGATGTGGGGCATCACTGGCCCTTCTAACAGTTCAGATAATCTGTGAATACTTACATATTGGTAAATCCTGTGGTTCATATGTATACAGTCTATTAGAGTATCTTCCAGTTATATCAGCTCTGACTGTTAAAGAAGGATCTGCAAAGAAAAAATAATTTACTGATGAGTTATCTGAAATGTGTTAACAATCATTCTTGCCTCAATCTAAAACAAATAAATGTTAAACACATTTATGATGAATTAACCTGAATTTTTTTTCATTTTACAGTGTCATAGTTCTCTCTCAATACACTTTGGGGAACTTTACTGAAATTATACTGGGATAATGATTTAATAGCATCAGTTAGTTTAAAAATATTTAAATTATCATATTATAGATGTAGTGAATTTTAATTGTAGAAATAACAATACTTGTTATTGACTGGGTTAGAAATGACTTCCCTTGAACTGACATTTAAAAATAAATAAAAACAAAAATGCTACTGATTTTGTAAACCTGATGGAATGAGATTACACACATACCCACAAACATGATTCTAGGCACATATTGTCCATCTGGTGATAAATTTTTATCCGTGGTCTCATGCTAGAAAGAAAAGGAAAAAAAAAATGTCATTGGGTTGCATTGTTTTTGACAGTTGATTTTGAAAATATTTTATGTGAACAAGGTTATCAGAAAATTATACATCGTGGTCTTTTTCCATTTCATGCAACAGTGTATATCCAGCAATATTTTATAGCTCTTTTAGTCTTAAAAATAGATTTAAAGAGGGATGCAAATTTTCCATTGAATTGTGATGTTAAGAAAACATTGTGGAGGTCATGTACCATGAGATTCAGCATGATGAAATTATTCTGAGCCATTTCTTGTATTTCTTCATTTTGGGCAAACACCTTTTTGAGTGCTGTGGGGAAAACATAATGAACACCAGTCACTTTTAAGAATAAAGATGCTTTCAATATAAATAACATAGCAAAGTAAGACTGGTATTTCCCATTTACTTGCATCTATATTTTGGACGTAAACAGTACATTGGTCTATGGCCACTTTGTCACTGGGAAGCAATGATGGACAGAATTTGTCCATGAAGACATTAGGGGGTGTTTTTACTAAGCAAGCCACCAATTTTATAATTTCATGTAACACTGGTTAAAACAGCAAGTTTTTCCACTTTTATTTTGGTGGGAGGGAAAGGGAAATAAAATTCTAAAGAACATATAAATATATTCAGAAGATTGTTAACAATCACCGTAGCCTTTAAGCACCTGAGTAAAATGGTAGTATGTGAGTTGTCTTTTTTTTAATGGGATTTTCTGAGTGAGACCTGAACAGTTTTTACCAGGTCACCTTTTCTAGTTCTTTTGGAAATACAGTAAGAGCTCAGGAGCTAAAATTACCTTGGCAGTATTGACAGTCCTCCAAGTGAAGAATAACCATCAACGGCTTGTTACTAAACAGAGAGAGTATGGAGTGAGGTCAGGTGATTAACTCAGGGTCAGAATGCACAGTGAAATGAGATGTAAAGTTTTCGTACTTTTAACAAGACTAAAGTACAATCTGATTGACAAATCATAGCTATGTTGTCTTCAGTCGGGTCATTCAGAACATGGCCCCAGGACTTTGGACATCGCCAGGTAGCTCAATGGAAATGGAAATTCTCTGGCTCCATCCCAGGCCCACTCAGAACCTCTGGGGTAACTGAACAAGCTCATCAGCTCATTCCGCTGTGCACTGTAGTACAGTTATAGAAACGAAAATCAATTCTCCAGAGATGAAAGGATATTATAAACAAGATATCAATTTCCAATGACCAGCTGGTGTAAGAGTTCAGGAGAGTCAAAGTTTTTATTTAGGTGTTTGTTTTCTTAGTTTTTGCAAAAATGCTATTAATGTTTGACTATTTTCACATCCTTTTATTCTTGTAACAACTCACTCTATTCAAACCATCTCAGTGAGAGTTCCCTCTCTATACATTTTTTAATTTTATTTTGATTTTAACTCTCTGAAAAAAAGTCTTTGTGGTAGCTAATTGACTTTCCTGATCATTATAGTAAGAAAAACATTAGAATATTAACTATAATGAAGGAGAAAATAATTATGATTTGGATATATAAAATGTTTTTGAAAATGTTTCTTTAATTTGAGAGAATGCTGGGTACAAAAAAGAGATAGACCCTCATGTATGCATATTAAATCTCTTTAAAAACAACAGAGATGATCATGGGAAGTACTTGTCCCTAGATAATCCTATTTTTAACTTTAGTTTGAAAAGTGTTAAATAACAGACTTTGGATTGTTATTAATTTTATTTAGTCATCAGACTTGAAATATAAGTAAATTTTAGGTGAGAATAAATCCTATAACTCACTTTTAAAATGTATGACATGGATATAAAACCAACATTTGCCTACAACTTCAAACTCATTGGTGAAAAACCAGATTAGAAATTTGATGAATGAAATATTATTCCGCTTTTTAAGAAACCTAACCCTAGGAATATTTATTGACATATTTTTAGAGGCAAGCATAGCACTCAGTTCTTCTAAACATCAAGTGGTAACCCTTCCACTAGATAACTCTTCCTCTGGTTAAGCTTAGGTAGGTGCAGGTACCCTGAAACGAAACAGCTTAGGGTCATGAGTCAGCGAATTTCTTCCCAGCACCTGTCCAACAGCTGGAGACAAGGAGATATGTGTAGGGAAAGACATGGATATAACTCTTAGAAAACTCATTTCTGCATCAGATTTCTGGATAATTGGTGTCCAAGGAAAAATGTATCAAGACCACAGAAATCTCAGTCTTAACAGTTCAGCAATGAATAGGTTGTGTAGGCATTCAAACCAAGACACTATCTCAGGAACAGCGGAGAAGTGTTTCTGGCAGACATTGAAGTAGGAACAGTCTGGAAAAGGGCTCTTTTCGGCAGAGACAAATTGTAAATATTTGCGGTTTTGTAGGCTGAGGGGTCTTATTTGCAACTATTCAACTTGGCCCATATTGCACAAAAGCAGCCGTGGATAATATATAACAAAACAAGTGTGGCTGTATTAACAGTGAAACTTAATTTATGAATCTGAAATTTGAATATCATGTAACTTTCATGGGTCCAAAATAGTGGTTTTCTTTTGATTAAACATTTTTTAAAAAATAAAAATCATCGTTAGGTCTCAGATCAAATACAAACAGGTGGTCCCCGGTTTAAAAATCTCATGACTAGCCCCCTGGGTTGTGAGAAACTTGCGTTGAGAGAAAGAGTAAACATCTTTGATAGCTGCGCTTCTGAGATTCTCTAAAACCAGCGCCATCCAAGCCCAGTTTCTCAGCATCATTTGGTGAATCATCTTTTAAAAGTCTGCATTTTTTTCTTTTAAAATGGGTTACAAATTCAAATGGTTTAAAATTCAAAAGTTTAAAAGGTAAACATTTTCCCTCCCACTCCTGCCTTCCAGAAGTAAACAGGTTTTCAGGTCATATACCTGAATATGTGTATGTACATGTTTATGAATATTAAAAAGCATATGTTCATGTTTATGTACATGCATATATCTATAAATGTATATGGTTATGTTTATGCATATGAATGTCCATGTAGTGCATGTGTTCATATGCATGCCCACGTGTATGTGTATGTATATAGTCCTTTCTTTTTTAAAAATATAAATACCAGCACACTATACACATGTATTTGCATTCTGCCTTTTTAACATAATGGCACCTCCTGGATAGCATGTCCTGGATAGTCTTTAGTGCCCTGAAGACAGATATTTAAATTGCTTCCCATTTTTTGTGTTTAGATTATCTCCAAACACTGCTTTGGTGATGTTATTTGTATAAGATTTTGCACATGGGTAAATACATTTCCAGAAGTTGAATTTCTAGGTCAAAGAGTATATGCATTTATAATTTTGATATACAGGGGTGGGCAAAAGTAAATTTACAGTTGTGAGTACATGAAACACAGTTTATTCTTGTATTATAATTTATTAATGATTGTATTATTATTATTTTTTTTATCCTCACCCGAGGACATTTTTTCCATTTTTTGTTCAGATAGAGTGGGAGGGAGAGAGAGGAAGAGAGAGAGAGGGAAACATCGACGTGAAAGGGACACATCGAGTGGCTGCCACCAGCACGACCAACCAGGGCCGGGGGGACAAACTGCAACCGAGGTACGTGCCTTCAGCGGGAACCGAACCCGGGTCTCTCTGTACCGCAGGTCGACGCTCCAACCGCTGAGCCAAACCGGCCAGGGCAATGATTGTATTTTTATCTGCATTACAACTGCAAGCAGAGTTCCCAGGGGGGGGGAAGAAGAGCATGTGGGGAACAAAACTTACGTGTTTTATCTCTGCTTCCAAGGAAACTCTCTTGCCTCACTATCAGCCCTTCCCTGCTCCGAGAATTTAAAGAATTCTAATTTTGCAATAGTCTCTCCTAGTACCTTAATAGCTTCATTTTTAGGATGAAATATTTGTAATTTATTGTGATGAAATTTAAGGTATGGATCCAAATTGATTTATTTTTCCCAGATGGCTACCAACTTCTCTCTAACACTAATTGATTTTACATATTTTATCTCCCCTCCTACGATTTAAAATGCCACTTTGTTGTGTAAAAAGTTTCTGTAGTACCCAGTTTTATTTTTATAATCTCCATTTTGATTTATTTATCACAGATATATTGTTATATTATAGCTTTGCCAAATGTTTCATTTTAAGGGCGAATTATGGTGGCTGTAGACATCCTCATCTTATCCAGACTTCAATGGGATCCTTTTTTTTAAAAAAATTAATTAACTTTTAAATTGAATTTATTGAGGTGACTTTGGTTAATAAAATTGTATAGGTTTCAGGGATACAATTCTATAATACACCATCTGTATATTGTATGTTTGTTTTCCTACTAAGCATGATGTGGGTTTTTCTTTGCTGGGATTAATATTTCCTTATTATAATGAAATAAATGAAATAAATTAATATTGTTAAATAATCTTTAAAAAACTAATTCAAACATGGGTTTTGCATTCTATTAAATGCCTTTCAGCATTTAGGGAGATAGGAAATACTTGTATGATTTGTCTCCTTATAAATATTAAATTATTTAAATTAATAGATTTCTTAACCTTGAATCTGCCTGGCATTCCCAGACTACATCTTACTTAATCGGGTGCATTCTCTAAATGCTCTGCTGGCTGGCTGCTCTTTGCTAATATGTTGCTTGTTTATTACATTCCTATTTGGAGATGATTATTTTGTTGACTTCTTTTTTTGGTAATATTTGTTCAGCGTTGAGACAGATGGAATCTGTCTCATTTGGAATTTTTTCCAAATCTTTTCTCCTTCTTTAAAGAATATTGGAATAGAACATTCTTCAGATAGTTAATAAATTTGGGGGGAGCTTTTTAAAAACACAAATTTGCCGATTAAGCATCATTCCATGGACTGAGAGATCTGGTTTGATTTCCAGTCAGGGCACATGCCCAGGGTTGCTGACTCAATCCCCAATAGGGGGCGTGCAAGAGGCAGCTGATTGATGTATCTATCTCACATGGATGTTTCTATCTCTCGCTCCCTTACCATCGCTCTAAAAATATCAATTAAAAAGACATGAAAAAAATAATAATAAAAATATAAAAACAAGTTTCTCTGCTCGATCCCCAAGGATTTAGTTAGTCTGCAAGGATAAAAATCATGTCACTCTTGGTCACTGAGCATATAGAACAATGCCTGGCACATAGCATTGGCTACTCAGTAACTATTTGATCATGAATATGGATTTTAAAGAAAATTCTCTGAATTGTTCTGATCAGATACGCTTGGGAACTGCTATGCTAAACCAGTTTCCTGTTTAAGCTTGTATAATGCCTACTGACTGATAATTGTTCGTTTATACTAAATTCCAAAACTTGCTTGGCTAATTAAGAAACTAATACAGCCGTAGCTGGTGTGTCTCAGCTGGTGGGGCATTGCCCCAGGCACCAAAGTGTTGCCAGTTTCATTCCTGGTCAGGGCACATGCCGGGTTTCGGGCTCAATCCCCAGTAGGGGGTGTGCAGGAGACAGCTGATTGATTGATATTTGCCCTTGCATCGATGTTTCTCTCTCTCCCACTCTCTCTAAAAGTCAAAAATATTTTTAAAAAAGACATTAATACAAAGGTATTTAGAGCTCTTGTGTATAAAAAAATATTCTAACTGTAACTCTTAGTCAAAAGAGCATACAATAGTAGAGCAAAATACATGAGGTATCCTTTTAGAAGCTAGCTTGCTAGTTTCTGGCTCCTCTGTGTGTGATCTGTCAAAATTAACGGAGAGACATTTTACCTTTTTTGAATATGGAAGAGACCTTCTTCGTAAGTCTGTACCCAAGTGATGTCATCTCCCCATCCTAAAATAGAAATCAGTTCATTATCTCAGGACCTCAGAGCAGCTCCCAAACAGGCTCGTGACAAGCAGATATCTATCTACAGATATTTAAGCTCCCAAGCAGTCACCTGACATATGGTATAGACTAGAGGATATATAATGATAGTTAGATGCGAAGAGATGCTATTTTTTCAGATGATAGTGCTGAGGTTTTGTGACTGTGTTTCAATCCTCCAGGTCCTTCCATGGCTTTGAACCCAGTAAGTGCCCAATAAATTCTATTAGTGATAGTTGAAAGGCTACCTCTGGACCATGCAAAAACTCTAGTTTCAGAATGAACAGCAGAAAATAATACTCAATCTTTGCATACTTTGTAAATCTATTAGGAATACTTTGGACCATGCTATACAGTGCCCTTGTATCTTGAGTGTCAAGAAATGCTGACCTTTCTAAATCATTATACCTCATGAAAAAAAGTTCCAAAATTTTGCTTTGGAAAAATTCTGGTGTTTCATGGTTGAGAAACACAACAAACCCAGGTGTTCTGGAAGCATCTAGAGGAGTGAAGGAAAGGGAAACAGAAAGCAATGAATAGAGGCAGACCCACTAGCTTTTAGAAAAGTGATATGGGTAGTTGGAAATGTGTATTAGAGATTAAAGAATAACATTATTGAGAAACAGAATACACAAAAACATTCAGAAATATTACTGAGTATTTTCAGGAAATGTCTCGGTCTTTGCATGAAGAAGATTGAATTAATTTGAAAATAGACATATTTCTAGGTTAGTTTGGACCCAGATGTTCTTGTGTTTCCCATGTTGTCAGACTGAAGTTTCTGGTTTTGATACCATAGCTAAAAGATGGCCAGAGCCCAGCCAGTGTGGCTCAGTGGTTGAGAGTTAACCCATGCACCAAGAGGTCGCCGGTTCAATTCCTGGTCAGGGCACATGCCCAGGTTGTGGGCCAGATCCCCAGTGCAGGGCACGCAGGAGGCGGCCAATTGATGTTCTCTCTCATCGATGTTTCTATCTCTCTCTCTCCCCTTCTCCTTTTCTCTCTCTCTAAAATCAATAAAGAAAAAAATAATTTTAAAAAAAGATGGTGAGAAATTATACAGCAGAATTATAAAGCAAGATAAACACATTTCCATGATTTTTGCTTGTTTTGTTTTTTATAACAACTGTATTAAAATATAGTTCACATACATTGAAAGTGAACACCTGTTGTCTATATACACAGATTTGCACAACTATCACCATAATAGATTCTAGAACATTTTCATCGCTTAAAAAAAACACCCGTACCCTTTAGCTATCACCCCTAATCCCTCCTTCTCCCCCAGCCCTAAGAAACACTTAATCTACTTTCTGTATCTATAAATTTCTTATTCTGGATATTTCATATAAATGGATGCCTACAATATGTAGTCTTTTGTTACTGGATGCTTTTACTTAATATAATGTTTCCAAGGTTCACCATGTTGTGGCATGTGTTAGCACTTCATTCCTTTATGTGGCCAAATATTATTCCATTGTATGGCTATATCACATTTATTTATTCATTCATCAGTTGATGGACATTGAGGTTGTTTCTACTTTTTCCTTTTATGAGTACTGCTACTATAAACAATAGTATACAAGCTTTCGTGCGGACATATTTTTATTGATTTATTTATTTATTTTTAATCCTCACCCAAAGATATTTTATGTGGACATATTTTTAATTTATCTTAGGTCATCTACTTAGGAGTAGAATTGCTGGGTCACATGGTATCTACATTTAATCGGTTAAGGAACTTCTAGACTTTTATCCAAGTAGTTGCACTATTTTGCACTCTTACCAGTAATGTTGTTGGTTTGTTTTTGCCTGATTTTGGAAGACATATTATATTAGTTTAGTACTCCTTCTATCTGTAATAATCCTGAATAATTTTCCTTTTTTAAAATTTAAATTAATTTATTTTTGTTACAGATGTTTCTCCTGTTCCCCCACTGACACCCTCCTCCCGATCCCGCCCACCCCTCACAGCATCCTTGCCTGTATCCATTGGTTATGCTTATAGAGGGAAGAGAGAAACCGAAGAACTGGAAGATTTTCTTTACAACTTTGCTCGAATCCGTGTAGTAAACTCACACCATATTTTGCATTAAATAAGAGTTATTCTAGGATCAGCCAGTGAGACTGGGCTCCTACTTAATTTTGTATTTTATTTTATTGTAAATATCATTCAATTCTGGAACTTCAGCAATGGGAGGAATTACTATTCTCTCCTGTTCAGCTTATTCCTAGAAACATTAGAACATCTGCGGTATGCCTTACTCCTCCAACACTGGGTATGTTTGGGTAAAATAACACAATCCCTGCTCTCAAACAGTTCATTGTAGGGGAGCCATACTGTGTTATAATTATCGGTTATACACACTTTATCTCATAATCACAATAGGCCAAAGATGATAGAGTTTGAACTGTCTTCAGGCTCTCTGTCCATTATCATAATTCTCTGTTCATTATCATAATTCTATTTCCAGCTCTGTCTTCTGAGAGTTAATTTATTCATAGAATATATACATATTGAGTAGTTACTATATGCCAGTCACAGGGCTGGGTGTTGAATGCTGGACAGTTGGTTCGACTCAAAAGGAAGTTAGGATTTGGGGGTACTGTTCATTTGTTTTTTGTTTTTTTTCTTGAAACATTTATTACCTTTTTCCCAATAATCTTTCCTCTTCTTCCTAACATACTCTACCTAACTGGTGTTGCTCCCTTCTCTAAGGGACTCCATATGTGTCTCTGTACACTGCACCCCAACTCTTCCCTCTTACCCCTACTTTAGTCCTCATTTGTCTGAGCCTCATTCCCGCCATTGTTCCCTACATGTTCACAAATGGTAAAAGGCTTGACTGAATGTGCACCAGTTCTTAATAATGGAGTTCCCAGCAGATACCAGTCATAATCCCGATTAAAATAGTTTTTAAAGCCCAGCCAGCATGGCTCAGTGGATTGAGCATTATCCCATGCACTGAGAAGTCGTGGTTCGATTCCCAGTCAGGGCACATGCCTGGGTTTCAGGCTCCATCCCCAGTGAGGGGCATGCAAGAGGCAGCTGATCCATGCTTCTCTCTCTCATATTGGTGTTTCTCTCTCTCTCTGAAAAAAAAAAAATCAATAAAAAAATATATTAAGAAAAAATAGCCCTGGCCGGTTTGGCTCAGCGTTTAGAGAGTCGGCCTGCAGACCAGAGAGACCCGGGTTCGGTTCCCGCTAAGGGCATGTACCTCGGTTGCAGTTTGTCCCAACCCTGGTTGGGTCGTGCAGGTGGCAGCCACTCGATGTGTCCCTTGCACGTCGATGTTTTTCTCTCTCTCTCTCCCTTCCACTCTAGCTGAACAAAAATGGAAAAATGTCCTCGGGTGAGGATTAAAAAAAAAAAAAAAGTTGGTTTTTTTTTTTTTGATCCTCACCCGAGGACATTTTTCCATTTTTTGTTCAGGTAGAGTGGGAGGGAGAGAGAGGAACAGAGAGAGAGAGAGAGAGAAACATCGATGTGAAAGGGACACATCGAGTGGCTGCCACCCGCACAACCGACCAGGGCCGGGGACAAACTGCAACCGAGGTACGTGCCCTCAGCGGGAACCGAACCCGGGTCTCTCAGGACCGCAGGCCGACGCTCTAACCACTGAGCCAAACCGGCCAGGGCAAAAAATAGTTTTTAAATAAGTGAAGTAGCAGACTCATCAAATTGTTTGAAATTTACCATGCAGGCCTGGCTGGTTTGCTCAGTGGTCAGCGTGTCAGCCCCCGGAATAAAGAGTTGCAGGTTCGATTCTGGTCAAGGACATGGACCTTGGTTGGGTCCCAGCCCTGGTTGGGGTTATGTGGGAGGCAACCAATTGGTGTGTCTGTCTCACATCAATGTCTCTCTCTCTCTCTCTCCTTCCCTCTCTGTCTGGAAATCAGTGGGAAAATATCCTATAGTGAGGACTAAAAAAAAAATTACCATATATGTTGAGTATATTTCTCATGAAAACTCACCAAACTTTTAATTTTCATCTGAGGATATGCTTTTTATTGCCTTTTTTTTTTTTTTTTTGAGAGAGAGAGGGAGACATTGATCAGCTGCTTCCCATATGCATTCTGACTGGGGATCAAACCTGCAACCTAGGTATGTGACCTGACTGGGAATCAAGCCCAAAACCTTTTGGTGTGCAGGACAACACTCCAACCAACTAAGTCACCACCCTAGGGCCACCAAACATTTTTAATAGGTGTTTGAAAATGAATAGACAGAATGTTGATGCCTTATGGTCAAGTTAGTTGTAGCTTGCAGTTTAACTCAGTCCTGGAGGACTTTAGGGGCATTAAGGTTAGTATGTAAGACTACTGAGCTCATTGGCTTATAACTGTTGTTTATACAGACAGATACATGATAAATTATACTTAGGAAAATATTTCCTTTTTAAAATTATTTCTTTTTAAAAATTCACTGGTTTTTTGGGTTTATAGTTTCTATGGTTTTAAACTAAAGTGGAATGAATTAACTTGGCTGAACTTGGATGGACACTTGGCTGGTGCTCAATACAGCTGTTAAGAAATGAACAAACTTGGAAAGTCAATATTTTAAAATTTGAAACTATGCTATAATTGATCTCCATTTGTTTGCTCCGTTCATATACTATTCCAAGTGGTGGACAAGCATTTTTGAGGTTTGTTCTAATGGTTTTAAATTCGCTATATGGAGACAAATGATTTTGTTCCCATTCTGTTATCTGGATGTAGGAATTGATTTTGAGAATTTTCTGTATAAACTGTTTCTTTACAGATGAAGATATATTGGTTTCTTGTGCCAAAGGAAGGCAGTAAGTACAAAATAGAAATGTTTCGTAGCCAATTATAGGTCTAGATTATGATGTCAAAAACCATTGCAGCAGTTTTCTGGAGTCAGTATAGCAGACACTTGGTTAACCACAATTCTCAGAGGGCGGGATGAAATGCAAGTTTCTGGAGATCCTTGTATAGAATCCCTCCAAATTATTATTATTTGCCTGAATAGAGAACAGGGAATTGGAGCAGATTTTGAGGGATCTTAATTCCCTTTAGGATATTATTATAACACATCAATTATTATTTTCCAGGACTCTGTTTACCAGAGTTACAGGCAACCAAACCAATTCACCACTATTTCAACAAAAGCTATAGCAAATTGTTATTATTTTTCCGTTTCTTTGGTTCACGCTTTTAAAAGCCAACCGATCTCTTCTGGGTTTTGCTTTTGCCTATTTTAAAGTGGTAAACAACAAAATATTCCAGTTGACTTTGCTTTGTAAGTAGTCTATGGGTAAGAGACTGGGAATTTTTAAAACAATTCAAAAGGCTGAGTTTAGAAAATAAAATGAGATTCTGGTACCTCTAGAGAGCGTCTGAGGAGGCCTCCTTTCTTTCTTGATTGCGATGGCAAGGTTGGAAGAAACCGCCACCAGTAAGAGGCAGAAAGCCGAAGCTGAGTGTAGCATCGCGTGTTCTCGGCAATCCCTCCGAAGAACTAGACGACAGAACATACTTTTCAGAATCTAGTAGGTCACTTCCAGCTGCCATTTAAGATTCAGACCACACCTGGGCTGACAGTTTGCTCTGCTTGTGTGAGTTGACATGGTACCACCTTCTAGAACTTTCCTTCACATGTTATTTTTAAAATGTTTTTAAAATGCAATCAACTCAATAAATGTCCACTTGGTGAGAAGGCACATTCTGGGCATCCTGGGAGCAGTCCAGTGAAGTTGAAAGAAAACTGGGTCGGGGCACTCAAAGCTCACGTCTGGCTGCATTTTCGTGCTCACAGCACTACAGTGAAACACAAATAAGACCAGGTGCATTAAAGGTCTTTCAATGCTACAGTGCAATGCAAAGGTGACTTTTGGCATGCATAAATATTCTTTTTTTTTTTTTTAATCCTCACCGAAGGACACTTTTCCATTTTTTTGTTCAGATAGAGAGGGAGGGAGAGAGAGAGAAACATTGACGTAAAAGGGACACATCGAGTGGCTGCCACCTGCACAACCCAACCAGGGCCGGGGACAAACCGCAACCGAGGTACATGCCCTTAGGGGGAACCGAACCCGAGACTCTCTGGACCGCAAGCCAACACTCTAATTGCTGAGCCAAACTGGCCAGGGCTACATGCATAAATATTCTTTTTGAGAGAACTCAGAAATGGACCCAAGGCAATATGCTCAATTAATGTTTGACAAAGGAGGCAAGAGCATACAGTGGAGTAAAGACAGCCTCTTTAATAAATGGTGTTGGGAAAATTGGACAGCTACATGCCAAAAAATGAAACTAGACCATTAACTTACACCCTACACAAGAATAAATTCAAAATGGATAAAAGACTTAAATGTGACTCATGAATCCATAAAAATCCTAGAAGAAACCATAGGCAACAAAATGTCAGACATCATACGCAGCAGAATTTTCACTGATACATCCCCTAAGGCAACAGAAACAAAGGAGAAAATGAACACATGGGACTACATCAAACTCAAAAGCTTCTGCACATCAAAATGGAAAGGCAACCCACTGTATGGGAGAGGGAGGGGGGAATCAGTGGGGGGAAAAGGAGAAACATCTGTAACAAAAATAAATAAATTTTTAAAATATTATTTTTGATTCTTCTTGATCGGGTGGATTAAAACATTTTAACTCTATGCCAAGATAATTAACATTAGGCATGAACACATATTGCGTATAATAGAGTTCAGAGAAGAAAATAGAATAGGGAGATTCTTGTTTTTCAAGTTCTCTGTGGTCACTCATCTTTCTCACTCTTCCATCAGTGACTCAGCCTCTTGTCCTTCAGTTTACAACCTGGCTCTTTTAATAATCAAGTTTATTGTCACCGTGCTATAAATTAAATATGTGTGCAAAGAACAGACTCACTGCATCTATAATTTTCTCTTGGTTAGCTAGAATTCAAATGAATTAAGTCAAGGTACTGTCCCTTCTACTCTGCACGTTAAGATAGAACTAAAAGTCTTGAGTTGAAGCCCAGCCAGTGTGGCTCAGTGGCTGAGCATTGACCCACACACCAAGAGGTTGCCAGTTCGATTTCCGGTCAGGGCGTGTGCCCAGGTTGTGGGCCAAATCCCCAGTCGGGGCATGTAGGAGGTGGCCAATCAATGTTCTCTCTCATCCATGTTTCTGTCTCTCACTCTCCCTTCCTCTCTCTCTAAAATCAATAAAGAAGAAGAAAAAAAAAGTCTAGAGTTGCATCTGAGGTTTGTCAGAAAAGTCCTGTTCAACCACTTGATAAATATCTTACGTGGAGCATTTAATGCTTGTGAGATGTACAGTTACAGCATTGGTAGCATATAAAACCCATTTGAAAAATAGTTAGCATGCAGTTCTGAAAGCATCGCAAAATATTAAATGTACAGAAACCTTTCATGTTTCTTTAAAATTCCTTCAAAGCAGTTTTCCTGTTGACTTACATTCCTTAGTAGTGAATTCCCCAACAAAACAGTGAATGACTGTTTTGTGATTCTGCTCAAACATGAATATTGCCATATATAACTGCATTGGGCATGGTGGAAAACAGAACGATTTGTAGGACAAATGCACCTTCAAATAACGTACTGTTTGGCAGTGGTAACAGGCTCATTATGTATCAGAGCACTTGTAGTCACGGAGAACAACATGGTGCTGGGGAATTTAAGTGTCCTGGGTTTTCCCAGACGCTTCCTCATCCCACTCATTCTAGTATATTTTTTTGCCCGTGGTATAGCCCTTCAGTCCCCCTCTGGATTGAAAAGGGTTGCCACTCCAGGTCAGCCCTATTTAAATTATTTCCTTTCCTAATCTTCAATGAACCCATTTTAAAATTTTCTTTTTTTTTAATTGTTGAAAAAAACCTGTTAAAAAATAACCACAGTGTCTGATAAGAACGTCCAGTCAAGTTCCTATGAGTCATTAATACCATAAAGCATTTAGAATGCCATCCTGAACCTTAAGGACTGGTCTTCTTATACCTGAAAGACTTCAGTAGGGGACAGAGACAGCTGAAGGGGGACCACAGAGTCCACTGTGGGGGAGGGTAGTCCCAGTCAGGTTGAAAGTTGCAGCAAAGAAACTGAAGTGAACATCGAGGGCAGGGCCTTAGCCTTGACCCAGTGACTTCCAGAAAGTCTGTGAGCGAGTTACAGGAGGCTCAAAAAACCCTGAAATTCTATGTAAAATTTTATGGGCCTCAGTTTATTTTCCTGGGGAAGATGCCTGAAGATCTGATGTGCTTAGCATTTTCCCAGGGGTCTTGGATAGAACGCAGAGGTCAGCAAAGTGGATCTGAAGAAAAGCATCCAAAAAGGCTCTCTGTGGTAGAGACAGAGATCAGTAGGTGAACTCGGTACTGAAAAAAGTTAAATTCACCGTTTGCCTGATTTACAGCTGCCAAGTTTAGAGTTGAGCGGGAATCAAACTTTTTTTCTTCAAATTTCAAGTTATGATGTATTATTATCACAGACTATTCTTCAAAAATAAAAATACTGAATTTCTGTTTTACATAACTTGAGAAATTGTAAAATGGGTATGAAAATATAGTCTATGATAACGCTGCATCAATTCATAGATTTCTATTTTTGGACGAACATGTTTTCCTTGGGCAAATAGAAGGCGGGCTGCTGAGTCCCCGACACCAGGCGCACGTTAGGCTGCAGGGGGATGCAGAGGAGAATGCATTCTGGCTTTGGCGCTGCCTCCAATAGTGCACTCAGGAGGCTCCTAACCAAGTGTCTACAACTAGGTGTTATAAACACTGGCCAGTGAACTTTGGATACCACTGGTATTTTACTTCTTCAAAGTAATCCAGCACAAATCACTTACTTAGATGTTATATAAAAATATTTCCTATTTTAAAACAAAATTTTAGAGAAAACAAGGAAGAACAATTGTTCCTTGCCGCATAATTTTTGAAGGGCCAGATTTTAGTCAATGCTAGTTTATTATCATATCATTCATATAAGTAGAGAATAAAAATAGGAAGTCAGCCAAGGAAATCCAGTTCATTAAAAGAAAAATATAGAATTTCATTGAATGCTCCCTACCCTTTCCCGAGGACTTCACTTTTGAATAGCAGCACATGGATTATTTCAATATAGCAGAGCCTGACCACTGATTAAATAATCGGGAGATTTTGCTTGCTTACCTGAACGAGCAGTGCTCTTGCTGGAAGTGTAATCTGGATGTTTCTGGTTAAAAATGGGTGTGGATTTATAGACACAGACAAATACACACCCCTGACCTACAGCCCTGCCTGCATAGAAACAAGAGCACATTCACCTGCAAACTTACAAAATAGGCTTGTCAGAAAAGTCCTGTTCTCATGCTTCTCACGCTAAATCCTCGCCTCTCGTTCTCTAAATTGAGATTGAGTGTCCTTATAAAATGAGGCCAAATACAGTCTTTGGACTTTTTTCTCGTCTACCTTTTACTTCCCAAGGTAATTTAATGTTTGGCTGGGGTTCAACACCAGAAAAAAATAAGTGGGGAAGAAAGGACTGTTCTGAATGTAAGAACTGTGTGTACACCATTGTTCTCCATGAAAGTTCAGTGAGTCTTGCAGATTAGACATAAAGCAAACAAATTCCTAAGGGTTACTCTTTTTACAGGAATGCAATTAATAGCCAGAGATCAGGTCCTATTTTATCAAGAGAGAAAGAGAGAGAGAGAGAGAGAACAAAAATGCTGTTTTAAAATTCAACATTTTTATAATCTGATTACTCTTTACAGTCTTTCTATAAAACCCTTTACCGTATTATGCAAAAACACAGCAGATAGGAAAACAGACAATTAGATAAATTTGTTTAATATTTATCAAATAGACTTACATTTTTATCATTAATCTATGATTATGGCAAAGCATCTTTCAAGTGGAGTTGTGTCAAAACAAAAAGTATAACTCTCTTCTCTCTTCAGTGCTGCATTTCCTTGTGCACCCCACCCAACACACACACACACACACACACACACACACACTTCTCAAGTTCCACTCCCCAAAGTTAATCAGTGTCAGAATGATGTAGGGCAGGGTTACCAAATCTGCCCCACCTGTTTTTGAACAACCAAGGAACTAAAAATTGCTTTTACATTTTTAAATGGTTGGGGGGGGGAGGGTGAGGATCAAAGGAAGAATCATATTTTGTGACACGTGCACATTATACAAAATTCAAATTTCAATGCCCATAAATAGAGATTGCTGGATGGAACCCAGCCACGTTCATTTCCTTAGGTACTGCCTCTGGCGACTTCTGTAACTGCAATGCTGTGTCTGTGAGGGGCCGTGTGGTCTGCAAGCCCTAAAATATTTACTGTCTGGCCTTTTACAGAAGATATTTGCTGACCCCCTAAGGCAGGATATTGTTTCATAAATTTCTCTTCCTTCCTCCTTCCTTCCCTTCTCTTCCTCCCTTTTCTTTCTTCCTCCCTCTTTCCTCTCTTTCCCTCCTTTTGTCTAATTACTCAATAAATTGACAGGTGCAATCCTAAAGAGGGGGAGATGATTGTCTAGCTTCTGACATTAAAATGAGCACGTTTCTAGTATTTTAACTTTAGACACAGTGCTGGTTTGATTGACCACGGAAGGTAGCCACTGCGTATTCCTATGCTACATCTCTCAAAATTAGGAATGTTGGATTTTATTCTAGATAGATGGACACTTGGGTTTTCTCATGTCATATATAAAATTTAGAATTTTCCTCACTGAACCTTCCTTGTGATCCTGAGAGAAGCCCCATGTAGCCAGGTTGTAGTATTCTTGTTCTATCCCACTGATTTGTGTATTTGTTTAAATTCTGCTTTCTTCCTTATAAAGGACTCTCAAAGGGAACCTTCCTTGGGACAGGCTATTCATATGGAATTCTGCCTGCTGAAGGTTAAGAAACTTGGCCTACAATTTTAGTTTTAAGTCCAGAGTTTGCAAAGCAAGGAAAGAGCTGGGCAGTGACTCATGTTTTCCTCTTTCAAAGGAGGGTGGGAATGCTTTTACCTTGTTCTTGACTGGTAGCAGTTTACAGAAAGAATCTAAAAAATGCCTGACATCCCTGTTACAGTGCTCACATATTATCTATTTAATGGATAATGTGATGAGAATGAGAAAGAAGTCAAGTACCTAAGGGGTAGTGAAACTAGGTCCCATGGTGTCTGGTACCTTGTTGATCAGCGTCATTGATTCTCTCCCACTGGTGTGACTGTGTCTATATTTTCTAAACTAGTTCAACTTTGAGAATAGAAAGAGATAACATTTATTGGAATTACATAATTTTTATATAATATTTTGAAATATGTATATGTCAAGTAAAATTTTTTACATAATAGATCACAAATAGTTTTATTAAAGATTAATCTCAACAGTAAAAAAAATTTAAAATACTTCATGGCAGAAATTTAAAAAGTATTCTTTGTATATGTTTATGTTAATTGGTTTCTTAACCATACTTGTCTCTGATAACAGGTGGCTAGCATTTTTCTGAAGGTTTTGCTGATAGTATCAATATTTTTTTTTCAATGAGATTTTATGCTTATGTTTTTAATTAAATTGCCTGCAATCTTCAAATTGTCCTTATGGTAAATATATGTGGGATTGTCATCAACTTCAGTTGGCACTTCTCTGTAGACTATACTATTTTTAGTTAAGAAAATATTATTTCTTCAAGTGCTTGGTTACCAGTAAGATCAAGAAAATTTATTTCAGTAGAGGATAGTTTCAATTCTAATTTTAATATTATTGAAAATTATCTCAAATACTATGCCTAGTCTTGCTGAGATTCATTTCTTCAAGAGAAAATTTTATAAGATGAAACATTTTAAATGTTATTTCTCTTCATTGATATTGTAAATGTTTCATTAAATTACCAAGCCTCAAAAGTGCAGGTCCTTTCTATTTAATTCTATTTGCAAACAGAATAGAAATTTATCCAATTAAATAAAGACTCTTTTAATAAGTCAAGATATTCCACACTAGGAGCTAATTCTTTCAAGAGTAGTGACCTATATTTTATATAATAAATTGATCACATAGTCATAAATTGAATTTAGGATTAGGATTACCTATCCACTTTGTGTGTGTGTGTGTGTGTGTGTGTGTGTGTGTGTGTGCTTGTCCATCTCTCTGTTTCAGTTTATCAGTCCCTTAGAAGATATAAAAAATTAAACAGTACAAAAAAGGCAACAGTAGAAAATAGATTTCCCTCCCACCTATCTTCCTGTCTGTGGTTCTCCTAACTAGAGGCAATAATTACCAACTTCTTGAGCTTTCTTCCAGAAATATATTCTCTATATTCAATTATGTCCTTATCCAGTTATTATCTATATATCTATCTATAGATGTATCTATCATCTCTGTGTATATCTATACATTTTTTTCTTAGTAACCATTCTGTCAATACTTCTAACCCTCTATTTTTCATTTATAACATTGGATATTGTACCATATCAGAACAGGTATTTATGAAACTATTTAGTAAGCCAAAGAAGAAAAATATTCTGTAGAGAACATTTATCTGCCTTTATTTTCTAAATCTTGTAGATGCCGGTTCCACAGCACAAAGGACAGAAACTAACTTCAAAAATGTTGGTTTCTGGAAAAAAAAACCCCACAAAATACATATTTGCATTAAAGGAATAGATATCTCCAGGATTTGTTATTTTATACAAAACATTTAACATCATAATATTTTCGAAAGCTTGTTGTACTCAGTGTCTGCAACCTATAGGTTCTTGCTTTGTCAAGAATGGTTACATTGATGATTCCAAAATGGCAGCAGAGTGAATGGAAGCTAACCAGACCATTTCCCAGGACAAAACTGGAATTACAACTAAAATAAAGGCAAATCATCAGGAAAAACCAACAGAAAAGCAGCTGGAGAGGACCCATATAACCACGGTCAGAAAGAGAACACTAAACTGAGCCTGGTAGGAACTGCGAAGGTGCAAGAGGGTGGACTGGGAGCCCACGGACAGCAGCAATTTTAGCTGTGAGCAGCTCCCTCGGGGTTAAAATCTCAAGCCGGTTCCACAGCACAAAGGGTGGGAACAGAGCACTAAATTAGCTTCAGCCACTCACCTTGGAGGGCAGACTGGATTGGAACTGTGTGGAGATACTTTAAAGCTTGGAAAGCTGGGATGGCAATGGGAGTTTTGTGCTGAATCACTCCCTCATAGGACAGTAGCCATCTAACTCAAAGAGTGCCTTGCCAGAACCCTGGGGAGAAGCAACACCCCTCCCTCAGGAATTTAACACCACCTGACCAGGATAGAGAAATGCAAATGAAGGCTCATTAATGACCAGTAAGCATCTGCCCCACCCTCTGGAAATCCTCTTTCCCTAAATACCTGAGGGATTCTTTTTCATTTAGTTGAGGGCTACACCCAAGGCTCATCAAGTAACTAAGACTAATAGCACCCAGACAAAAAGCCTGAGGATAATTGAACCTTTCCTGGGCTTGCAAATCTACCCAGGAAAGTAAGACTTGACAGTGGTGTTTAACATTGGTCCTTCCACACTCATCCAAACCCAGTAGAGGGAGCCACAACCAGCAGAATACCAACACCCACAGCAAAAATTTGGCAGGCTTTAAAACCCACTGAGACAGCCAAAATGGTGAAAAAAAAAAAAGAAACAAATCCCAAATGAAAGAACAAGATAATTCAACAAAAGATGAAATAAATGAAAGGGAATTGAGCAAGATATCAGAGGGAGAGTTCAGAGTAATAATCATAAGGAAGCTCAACAGCATGAGTAAAGATATAGAATCACTGAAAACCAACCAACTGGAAATGAAGAATGACAAAGCAGAACTAAAGAACACATTGGAAGGAGTAAACAGCACAGTAGAGGACACCGAGGATCAGATCAGTGAATTAGAAGATGGTAGAAAAAATTGCCCAATCAGAGAACCAATAAGAAAAAAACAATTAAAAAACAGGAAGACAGTCTAAAAAAACTGTGAGATGATATGAAATGTAACAACATCCATATAATAGGAGTTGCAGAAGAAAATGAGCAAAGGTTAGAGAATATATTTGAAGAAATAGTGACAGAAAACTTCCCTAACTTGGTGAAGGAAAAAGGCGTACAGGTACAAGAAGCACAGAGAGCCCCAAGTAAGAAGAATCCAAACGGGCCCACACCAAGACACATAATAATTAAAATGCCCAAAATTAAAGACC